TTCACCGCTCGACGTGCGCGGCTGGGCGCATCCCCAACACGACACCGACGTCCCCAGCACCTCCGGCAGCTGCTCTCCACCGTTCACGCCGCGTTTGTCGTCTCCCCGCGCCATCCTCAGCGCCGTCCCACGCATCTGCTCATAACCTGCCCCTGGCACGCACCACGAGCACGACGCGCCACGCACGTCGCCTACCCATGCACTGCGACCGTCTTCAGTGGCGCTCCACCCTGCGCCTCCGGTACCTTAGCGCTCCGACGCGCCCGCGAACAGTGTACAGGCGAACGGAGGTGACGCACAGCCGCCGCTCAAGCGGCGGCTACGCTCTGCGCAGGAATCAAGATCCCTCTCTGAGCGCGCGGCGGCTCCAGCTGCCTTTGGGGAACGCTGACCCACCGCAAACGCGCGCGGGCGAGAGGGGAGAAGGGCTACGTACTGCGGGATTGATGAAGAAATGCTGGTTCCGACGCGTCTTGCATTTCTTTTTTTCCGTTTTTCATGTATCACAGCTTATGGAATACTCTTGCATTGAAGTATGAGTATGTATTGATATTGTATAGTATTTTTGATAATTTTTCCTTGCGGCGTCCTTTCAGCAATTGAGAAAGAGAATTGAGAGTCGGCACATCGGCCGATAAATCCGAAGCCTACCCGAATCCTTGTCTTCCCCCCATGCACGTTACTGTCCTCGTCAAACTCGCGCGTCCCCGCCTCGCTCGCGCTCTGCGAGTAGCACGAGTGCGCGTCGAACGAGTGCAGCGACAGCGCGGGCGACGAGAAGTCGTGCTCGTGCGCGTGCGCGTGCGCCGCGTGGTGGTGGTGCAGGTGCGTGTGCGTGTGCGTCGCCGCGGGCTCCAAATCGTACCGCTCCATCACGCCGTGCGCGAGCTCGAAGAACCCGCCGCCGCTCGTGTCCGCGGGGAACGACGCGCTGCTGCTGAGCGGCGACTGCGGGTAGCCGAGCGCGGGCGACTGCGAGGAAAACGCCGCGGACGAGTCGAGCCGCGGGTTCACGGAGAACCAGTCCTGCGGGCCCCACGCGCTGCGCCCGATCGTCCCCCACCCGCGCCCCCACCCCACTGCAGCCCAAACTGCGCCCGCCCCCCAAACTCCATCCCGAAATCCGACGCCGCGCCCCCCGCGCCCTCGCCCTCGCCCTCGTCATCCGACCCCACTACGCTCGGCAGCATCGACACCGTCTTGAACCCCTGGCTCGTATGCGCGCGCCTTCGTCTTCTTACCGCCGCCCCCGCGCTGTCTCCCGCCCCTGCGCTTCCGCCCGCGCCCGCGCCCACCCCCGCTCCGAGCCCGTCTTCGCGCGCCCCACGTGCCCGCGCCCGCGCACCTCCTCCCCCGCGCCCGCCCCCTCCTCCTCCTTCATCTTGCCCTTCGGCCGCGCCTTATACCCCGCCCGCTCATACTCCCCGGGCCACGCATTCCGAACCGGTCCCACAGATCCACGCTCCGGCCCCCGTCTGCCCAAACACCGGCGCGTCCTGGGCGATCGCGGCCCACGCCGCGCCGTGCCGCCAGAAGCCCGCGAGCAGCGCGGCGTCCTCCGCGGGCGTGAACGGGCGGCGCTTCGGGTGCGCGGGGAACGGGAGCGGGAAGAGCGGCGTGCCGTCGGGGTGCGTGGAGCGGTTGGGCTTCGCGGCGGAAGAGGGGCCGGCGGAGGAGGGCGAGGGCGAGGCGGCGCGCGCGAGGGAGGGGGGGAGGTGCGTGCGCGCGTTGGGGTAGTGCGTGCGGTAGGCTTCGGGGAAGTAGGTGCGGAATCTGGGGGGAAAAGAATATTAGTATTGGTACGGAGAAGACATAGGGGGAGGATAGAAGATGAAAGAGGGGGAAACGGGAAGAAAAACATCTTATAGCGAATGCACTCGACCGTGCGCAATGTCTGCGTGCCTGGCGATTTAGGCAGCGGTCCCCCCATCGCTCGCCGCGCAGACCAATTCGACTCAAATGCACGCATACGGCGCCAGGACCCACGAACGCCACATCGCGCCAAAATCAAAAGTCAAATAGTACATCATCCTGGCATCTCCTCGTACACGCACGATAGCCAAGACGCCCCCAACGCGCGAACCTCCCGCATCGTCGGCGGTGGTGCGCACGGAGCCCCGCCATGGGCATCGCGCCACGGTTCGTCGCCGTCACAACCCCACGCCTCGGAGAGACACGCCGCCGCCGCCGCGTCTCACCTCGCCCCCGCACGCCTCCGCACGCCCACGACGCGCGCGTCGAGCTCATCCTCCCCGCCTTGCGTACACCACCACGCCCCCTCCGCAGACACACCCCGCGCTTGAGATCGAGATCCCCCAATGCGCGAGCTTCCCGCATCGTCGTCGGTGGTGCTGCGCACGGAGCCCCGCCGCGCCCATCGCGCCACGGCTCGTCAGACGCGCCACACGAGAACGACGCCTCCCACGACGCGCGTCGCCCACGAGCCCAAGACGCCCCCGCGCGCCCGCACGTCGCCCGCCGTGCTGACTACTACCCACTACGCACCACTACCCGCCCCGAGGCGAGCCCTCGCAGGTACGCAGCATAGCTAAGACGCCCCCAACTCGCGAGCCTCCCCCAACGCGCGCGAGCCGTGGTGCGCACCGCTGCTCGTCGGACGCGCAGGCGCCACACAAACAGAAGGACGCTCGAGAGAAACGAGAACGACACCACGCTAGCGGGCGTCGAGCTCGTCCGGCGCGCGCCCCACCTCCGCACGCATAGCGTACTCCGCACCGTTATACACGCCCCGCGCGCCTCCTCGCAAGCAGGCCCACCGCGCGGAATACGGCACCCCCGGCGCGCCGACGACCCCCTGCCGCGCGAAGACAGCCTCCCTGCGTCCCCGTATCCACACCGCGCCGGATGCAGCGCACGGAGGGGAAACGGCGCGCCGCGGGGTGTCGCGCACGGCGCCCTACGCAGGACGGGACGCGCCACGCGCCCCTGCCGCGTGCGAAGACAAACCCCGCCGTCCGCGTATGTACGCCGCGCTGGATGCAATGCGCACAGCCGCCGCGGCGTATCGCCCCCGTGGCGCAGGACGTCCGAACCGTGTCAAGCACACAGCGCGCGATGCCCTGCCCCGCCGCGGAGGACGCATGCCCGCACTGACATCACCACACCGCAGTCGACGGACGCACCACCACCGCGTCCAGCAAGACCGAGACGCAGGCAAAAAGCAAAAACGCGTAAAAAGTAGAAAGGCAGAAAGGTAGAAAGCAGAGCAAAGCTAGAAGCCAGAAGGCACCCGGCAGAGGTATCTCCGTCTGCGTCCGGGCGGCGTACACGATGTGTGCCACGGCGTCCACGCACCGCACACGCGACGGAGGGCGGGGGCGGTGCGGGACACGAAACGACCGGCGTTTGTGCGGGTCTCCGCGTTTCTGCCCGCGCGGCTACGAGTAGCAGACGCAGGACGAGACGAGACGTAGGACGAAGAGGAGTGGAAAGAAGAAAGGAGGGGAAGCAAGGAAGGGAAAGAAACAAGGACGGAAACAAGGACGGAAAGAAAGAAGAAACAAGGAGGGGGAAGAAAGAAAGAAACACGTACCGGTCCTTCAAATCCACGGGCGAGCGAATCGCAAACGCGAGATTCGGGTCCGAGAGGATTTCTTTCTAGTTGCCGACGCCGTGCTACGGATCCCGTCAGTAAAGGCGCGCGCGCTCGCGGAGAAAGGGAGGCGCGCACGATATTACACCCGTCAACGAGCATCTTCGTCTCCTCCTGCGTCCACTTCCTGCGCGCCTTTTTCAGGGCTGCGGCTGCGGCGGGGCGGCAGGAGGGCGAGGGGCGCCGTGAAGGAGAAGGTAGCGCGGGCGGGCAGAGCAGTGGAGGCGGAGACGGAAGGGCGGGATGCTGCCGGCACGATTGATTGAGTCGGAAGTGCATCAGCGGACCCAGGAGACGGGCGCGCGTGGTGGGAGATTCGGGTCGAGTGGTGGATAGATGGATAGAGGTAAGGGACGGCAACGGATGAGGATACGAGAAGAGATGGCTGGGCTAGTGTGTACTGAGGCGCGGAGTTACTGGATTCGGCCGAGGGGCATCATAGGGCGAGGTGCGCTGGAAATGAGAAGTGCTTGAATCCCTGGAGAGGAGGACCCGGGCTTCAGGTGGGAGGCTTGAGCGGTGAGAAAGGGCGCAGGAGCGAGGGCTTGAGGAATAAACAGGGTGCAACAGCGGCATAGCCCGGAAATCAAAACTTGTTCAACCTTGATGTTTATGCGGAATACGGGCACATAGAGAATATTCAGCCTTTCATGTTGCCTTCAGATAAAATGAGAGAAAAACTTCGACTCAAATTTGAGACACGAGGAAATTCGCCCCTAATTTGTGTCAAGCTCGCCAGGTTTGTTTTAGCCTATTGGCGAGTGACGCAGTCCAAGCGAGCACGACTCGATGGTGGATGGTCTGCGCCTACTCCTGCTAGCAATAACCCACGTCAGCAGGAGACGTCGGTTCGATTCCGGCTCGAGCCACTGTGGTTTTCTGACGATTTTTTTTCTATATCTTCAACACGTAAGTATTCGAACGGCAATTGATTCTGCGACCAAATGCGGAATAACAAGACTCGATGGCGGAAGGTCCGCGCCTGTGTCTAGTAGTTGATATTCCACAAGATCTGCAGAGCCCGCCTGGCGCTGCCTTTCACGCTCCTTTGCTTCATTTTGTTCATCTTCCTCAAGCACTCACGAACAAGCCAGATAGGGGCTCGATATCGTATCTCCTCTGCCTCACCGAGAGAGCTTCAGCACGTATGTCGCCTCGCCCGAGTAGATCGAACATTGATCTATTCTGTGACCAAGTGCAGAATAACAAGCCTCGATGGCGGATGGCCGGCACCTGCTTGCCGTATTCCCTGTGGATATTCTGCAGGGTCGCCGGTTTGTCTCCGGCTCGAGTCATAATACATTTGGTTGCGCCTTTCTTTTTAGCAGCACTTCACTTCACTTACCTCCCGCGGCATCTTATTCAAGGTGCGGCATAAGGATATCAGGACTCGATGGCGGACGGCCCGCACCTGCCTCTCATATGGATGATATACTTGAGCAGCAGGAGACACCGGTTCGATTCCGGTTCGAGTCATCATTTTGGCACGGTGCCGGGTACCGCCCTCTCTTTTTTTTTTTTTTTTTTTCCCGAGGAAACCAGTGGGATTACAGAGGTTCGCGTTGTAGCGTATTTCCAAACCACCGCTTAACCACGCCGGCACGACATGTATGTATGTGAGCTCGATTCCAAGAAAGAAGCTGGGTCATCAAGCTCATTCAGTGAGGACACAAGCACAGAATCCAGCGACTCGATAGCGGATGGCCCGCACCTGCTTCTGGTACATGTGCTGCCGGACACACCGGTTCGATTCCAGCTCAAGTCATAAGTCTTGCTTCAATAGCCTTTTTTCCCCAGGATTTCAAAATTCACTTCACAGGTGTTACAGCGCCGATGCATCGCGAGCCTCGAGTTTATCAGCTCATTGCGCATGCTGCAGAAAGCTTTGCCGGCTGGAGTCCGGCTCTGAGTCGTTCGGCCTAGACCGGTAACCGGTCTCTCGTATGAAGTGGAAAACATTCATAGAGAGACTAAGGCTCCAACCATTTCGTTTTCGTTTGCGGCTTGGCGCAAACTAAACGGAAAAGGTAATCAAACATTTAAAAACTGTTTAAACTGTTTTTAAACGGTATTTTCTGGGGGCGCAGAGTACAGGTGCGCAAGGGGGGTGGAGACTAGTGATGATAGTTGAAATTGATGGGCTAGTCCTTGCCTTCAACACGGACACCCAAATGCATTGGGTGGAGATGGATTAGGAGTTGGCGGCGGCGGGCGGAGATCTCCGTGCGCCATCAATCACACCGAATTTGGACCCTCGAACGCCGTTCCGTGAGTCACTGAGGGGCTCGATATTTCTTTAGCGATGGTTGTTTCTGAACATGCATTTTATGTCCTTTCTATTCTAACATCCACTCTGCAGGCTCAAATAAATATTAAGTGAGTTACAACCGTTTGAACCGTTTGTTTATCATTTGTTTACCGTTTGTGCAGGTCCGCAAACTAAACGGAAAAAGAAACAGTTTTTACCGTTTAAAATGTTTAAAAATGGAAATGGTTGGAGCCTTAGGTCAGACCGGTCGATCTGAGTTTTAAATGCCATTACAAATCGCCCTCTGTATCATAACCGCCTTCTTTCCTGTAAACTGCAGTCTTGCTTTGTTTAGCTGACATAGGTGTAGTACGACAAAATTTGGGTACACATCATATTATTGGACATCGGAAGTCCCCTAGTATTATTTTGGTATCATTTATGGTGTCACGGACTCACGGTGTGCCAGAGGCGCAAGGCTGAGCTGCCGTACATTACCGAAATCATGAAAATTCGATGCGTCCTAAATGTGACACCGTGAGAATTGGAGTACAAACGGAGTATTCCCGATAATGTGCTAACTACTAGCACGGGTGAGTAATAATAACCTAATCCTTGCCATCGTACCACTCCGACAATGCAGTCTCTCGGAATCCCTCTCGCCCTCATCGTCGTCGCGGTCTCTCGCTCCTCCTGCTGGGCACGGGAAATGCTGCCAGCGACGCGGGAGTCATGCCGCAACGTCCCCGGGAGCCTGGGATACCCTGCCATCGCAGCCTGGAATGAATTCAACGGGACGATATCGGGCAGGCTGGTTGCGGTGGTGCCGTCCGCAAAGTTTTGTAGAACCCTCCCAGGCGGTGCGTGTACGGACGCCCAGTGGTCAAGCGGGCTCTTTCGCAGTGCCATTCCTGGCGCCATGGATCAGGTGTGTACTGCCCTAGATGCTGATAACGCATTAGAAACATTGTACAGGTCAATTTTGAACAGGTGCCGTGGTTGAAATCTACCGGAGTTTCCAACGACCGACCCTCTTTGAAAGGGTTATGACCTGACACCTCCTTCTTTGTGTCTGAGGAATGCAAAAATCTGCGGGCAAGGAGATGTTCCCATCTATTCGGTGGAGGCCGAGACAGTCGCGGATATTCAAGTCAAGCGAGGAATCCTCTGCGCCGCCAACTAATTACTGATTGTTCTCAGGCCGCAGTCAAATTTGCCACCAAGCACGACCTTCGCGTGGCTGTAAAATCTTCCGGGCACGACACCCTCGGACGTTCCACTGCACCAGGGTCCCTTCTCATCCGCACGACGAGCTTCCGGACTCTCACCTTCACTGATTCGTTTTACATTGGAGCAAAGGATATCGGTTCCGCAGTCACAATGGGCAGCGGAGTTCATTCCCAGACCTTGTATCAACAGGCAAAAATCAACCGAAGGGCTGTTCTGGGCCCGGGTGCGGCGGCAACAGTCTGCGTTGCGGGCGGATTTGTTCAAGGTGCTGGACACTCGCCTTTATCACCAAAGCTCGGCCTCGCCGCTGATAATGCCTTCGGTATGGTTCACATCGTTTTTGGGAGCGTGGCCTGATCTCACCTGCCCCGTGTCTAAGAGTTCGACATTGTTGTCGCCAGCGGTGAACTGCTCAAAGTCAACAGTATTTCGCATTCCGACCGTGAGTAGGCTCTCTGTTCCCTCGTGCGTCTGGGTCAATTGATTGCCCTTCAGTTTTTTATGCTCTGCGCGGCGGAGGCTCAGGAAGCTGGGGTGTCATCGTCTCAGCGACGTTCCGAACCTTCCCCACATTTAACGCAACCTTCGCCTCCATCGCTTTGGCTGCATCGAATGACACCGCTGCGAATGCCCTGGCGACCATCCACGCACAACACATTTTCGACATGGACTCAGTTCGCGCCAGCCATTCTTTCATCCTCTCCAAAAACGCGGCAACCGGCGGCTCCACCGTGGCTCTAGTTATATACCTACCAGACACAACAACAGCTAAAAGTATGGCACTTGTGGGACCGTTCATGCACGCCGCACTGGCTGTCCCGGGGATTTCCCTGCTGTCCCAGAATTATTCCTATGTTGACATCAACGATCCTCTTTTCCAGTCAGACGACAATACGGGCGGAAATGGTGTTTTGGGCTCAAGGCTTATACCAGCGCAAACGTACCACAATTCTCCGGCAAAGGTGGGGCAGGTTTATGAGCAACTGTTGAACAGTGGGACCACCAAGTAGAAGCATACTCTCTGTTAATATTTCTCCAGCTTACACTATTCCTTCCAGTATTATTGAAGTCGTAGTTGCAGGCGGTTTGGATACATTTATCCTCTTTTATTGGCCGCTGAATCTCATTTATGAATAGGGAAAGTGGCGGAAAATGCCAATATCTCATCAGCTGTTCACCCCGCATGGCGGACGGCCAAGGCACATGTAACTGAAATCAAAGTTTTAATAGAAAGAACCAGCAGTTGACGTACGTTCCTTTTAGCTCATCCTTGCAAACGGCTGGTTGGACTCGGCATCCCTCGCCGAAATCGACGTGCTTCGCAAGAAATTCAAGACCCAACAGCTCCCGATCCTCGAGCTAATATCCGGGCCAAACGCGGGCTCATACTCCAACGAAGCGGACGTTCTCGAGGCAGAGTTTCCGACTACATTTTTTGGCCAGAACTACGCAAAGTTGAGCGCCATCAAGGCGAAATATGATCCCGCCGATCTTTTCATTGTGGGTGCGGGAGTTGGGAGTGAGCGCTGGGATGAGTGGGGCATCTGCCAAGTTTAAATCGAGTCTTTCCCTCTGAGCCATTTCCAAGCCATGTCATCGTAACTCTGATTATGTGAATATACACCATGTATTGTCGTTGTATACAACTGGGTATTTACTTCATTCCGTTGAATTCTGGGTGGGAAACCCGGGGAATGGATCCTATCTGACGGTCTGATTGCCTTGTTGTAATCGGTGAAACAGTCGCGAATGATTTCACAAGCCTCTAGATCGTCCAAACATCGGTTCTTCATATAATCTTGGCCGATCATAATCCTGGATATGCGCGGTTGCAATTGCATCCATTGACCTGAAGAACTCAAACTACACAAAAATCAACCACATGTTTTCAAGTGTTGAACTCGGGGAATCTCATAGGCAAAAATTGAACACTACGGCCCAGGGCTCTCTCAGAGTCGTCAATGATCGCCGCATGCACTCATACTGTGATAAATTTGGTGTATCGAATGATATGCTCCGGACGTCCCATCTGGTAGATTGCCATTCCGGGTTAGTAGTATACCCTGATCCGATGTGGATCTAGACGGGACGGAATGAAAGCAATCTGTCATGAACGGGGGAAAAAAAAACAGAAAGATATATATGCAAACGAATCATAAGCGTACAGAGAAACGCCTGTCCCAAAATAAAAATAAAATGCTACTTTCGAGCCAGGTCATACCCATTGCGGGCCGTAGAACACGCGGGCGCTCACATCACATTGGGAATTTCGCCCTTCTGCGCGGGGCGCGTCAGCGGGGGCAGGCAGAAAGGCTATAACTTATAAGGCACTGACGTTGTCGTGTCGTGACTGCTGATCGGAGTGCGACTCTTCGTCCTCGGACCGGATGTCGAAGGTCCCCGCGATGTCATCATTCGGGGGTATGAATGTCAGCGGCGTGGTATTCTGGGCGCCAGTCGGTAAGTCAGTTGATCGAGCGCCTGGATGGCAGAATTAAATGAATAATGCCGTATACGCACTGTGGAGTCCGTTCCCGCTGTGGACTTGGTAAACCACGAGTGGCTGCGGCTTGACTTTTCTGGGTCGCCTTTACCAAGGACCACCTGTCCAATGGGATGGAATTAATCAGAAATGCAGGCGACCGGCGGGAGTGGATGCTACTAACATTCCGGACATTGAGCGACGCCAGGATCGAGTTCACGTACACTGCTTTGACATAAGTATGCAGCTGGGGGCGATGGACTGAGGGCCGTACGTTTGCCGACAACTTGATGGAAGGGCTGCCAGAACGTCCGCTCGGGGAACCCTACGTTCTAAGGCAGGAACATGAGCGCACGGGCATCCCGTCGATGGGGTGGGGATCACATACCAGGACAAGGAACATGATTTGTGTGATGCTGCACAGAGAGATAAATAGGGCGATTAGAGGGTGTAACGCAGCGTTATGAATGGCACGCACGCAGTCAGGATTCCCCGACACACGGCGTAACGGATTAG